ACCCCCACCCCCTCCACTGCCTCCACCGCCGCCTCCACCGCCCCCGCTAGCTCCTCCAGTGCCCCTGCCCCCCTTGCCCTTGCCAGGGCGGCGTCTCCCGCTAGGGGTAGACGCCGCACCGACCGACTCAAGCCCAACGAGGTCGGCCGCAGCAGCAGAGGCAACAGAGGGCAAAAGGGGGGAGGGGGAACACCCCTCAAAGATGGGGGTGCGAGGGTCACCACGAGAGGCTCCTACAGCGACTATGCTCTTCTCTGCTGCTAGGAGGGACTTCTCGAGGAGGTCAACGGTGAGAGTGGTGGGGCAAACTGAGAGGAAGTGGTCCCTGACTACGCGAAGGGAGTCAGGGAGCCGGGTGACTATGTAGTAGAGGGTGATGTACATGGGGGGGGGGTTCTTGGCGCAGAACTCAGCAGGAAGCGCAGCGCGGTAGCGAGTGTCACTAGTGCGGAGGTGTGTAATGAGGTCAGCGACTGTGGGAAAGGCAGCAAGGTCAGGGAAGAGGTACGGTAGCATGAGGCGGCTCAGTGCAGCAGTGGCAGGGGAGGAGTAGCGCGCAACTACAGCGTCGTACAAGGTGTGAGCACTCTTGTACTGGCTAAAGTGCGCACGCTCAGAGGTAGGCAGGTGGCGACGCACAGCAAGACGTGCAGCAGCATCGCGCGTGGCCCACTGTGAGCGAACAGTGGCGTCAGCATCAGCAGCGGGGGCAGGGGAGGCACCAGAAGTGAGGTCAAAGAGGGAGAGGCCGTCTGCTCTGTCGCACTGTAAGAAAAGCTGCAGGTCATCTATCCAGACGTCAAAGTCAATGGCCCGACCCTCAGCATCAAAAGCGAGGACACTAGGGGTAGCCATGACAGCAGTAGACTAGCAGCGCAAACAGCAGGGTGAGGGCAGTGCTGTGAAAGAGGCGCTGCTCTTACCGGACAGGGCGGCTCGGGTGGCTCGGTTGTAGGGCGGCTCGGCGGCTCGGCTGCTGGGCGGCTCGGCGGTGCGGCTGCTGGGCGGCTCGGCGGCTCGGCTGCTGGGCGGCTCGGCGGCTCGGCTTCTGGGCGGCTCGGCTGCCGGGCGGCTCGGCGGCTGGGCGGCTCGGCTGCTTGGCGGCGCGGCGGGGCCGCTGAGAGGGCGGCGCCCGGGGCCGCTGGGAGGAGGCGGCGAGGCCGCTGAGAGGAGGCGGCGGGGCCGCAGGTAGGTGGCGGGGCCGCTAGTAGGTGGCGGGGCCGCCGGTAGGTGGCGGGGCCGCTGGTAGGTGGCGGGGCCGCAGGTAGGTGGCGGGGCCAGCACAGGTAGGTGGCGGGGCCGCGGGTAGGTGGCGGGGCCGCTGGTAGGTGGCGGGGCCGCAGGTAGGTGGCGGGGCCGCTAGGAGGTGGCGGGGCCGCAGGTAGGTGGCGGGGCCGCAGGTAGGTGGCGGGGCCGCTAGTAGGTGGCGGGGCCGCAGGTAGGTGGCGGGGCCGCTAGTAGGTGGCGGGGCCGCAGGTAGGTGGCGGGGCCGCACAGGTAGGTGGTGGGGCCGCACAGGTAGGTGGCGGGGCCGCGGAGGGCGGCGACGAGCCGTAGGGGGCCGTGAGGGGCCGCGCGAGGGGCCGTAAGGGGCGTAAGGGGCCGCGCGAGGGGCCGTAAGGGACGGCGCGAGGGGCCGTAAGGGGCGGCACGAGGGGCCGCTAAGGGCGACGCGACGGGGCCGTGAGGGGCCTAGCGAGGGCGCGACGGTAGGGGGGGAGCACCCAGGGCGCGACTCGGGCCTGAGCGAAGCGCGCGCCGGGCAGGAAAAAAAAAATCGTGGTGGTGGGCCCTAGGAATCGTTCCCACTAGGGAACCTACTCGATACCATGAGAAGAAACGAGGAATGGAATGACTAAGGGAAAGTTGGGTACAAAATGCAAACCCTAGAAAACTGTACCCCATATGTGCTACCCCACTATAGCCTACAGTAGCTCTGTCATATAAATCTGACAATGATCTGTTTGAATCACTAGGAAACTTAAATCAATTCAGTTGTGTATATACATATGCCAAATATATATGCACTTTGATTTGTACCAACCACCACGCACATATTCAGGTTATTCAGGTTCGGTAGCGGCCGAGCCACGCAGCAACTTTCCTATTGGTGGAGAAAGCCCGAGCCACAGAATTTAGTTTGGCGCAACTTCGAACTCGCGTCGCGCAAACCAAAACATACCCCCACGTAACCCCAACGCAACAGCCCCAGCCAGCGCACGCGAGGGCTGGGGTATGTTTGGAAGTATCGCCAGCAAACATACCCCCCAAGCGATTGCATTTTTGGGATGTGCCCCTCTGCATCCCCTCCTAAAGCGGCGGCACGGCGTGGTGTATCATTATGGGTAATTGACTTACAAGTGAGGCGGCGCCTTCAGTCTCGCCATCTCCTAGTTTTTTTTTGCATTAGCAGCTGCTATGTGAATCGTGATGTATCATATGTAATCAACCTCATGCGGAATTAATGTTGGGCGCGTAACTTTTTATCTTTTAGTCAAATGTCCGGACGGAGCCCCCAAAACGTCCGAACGAAGCTCCGTCCGGACGTATGGGGATGTGGTTCGGACGATGAAGCGTCCGTACCACATTTGTGACACTTTTTTGCAGTTTCGAGATTTGAAAATCGTGCGAAACAGTAACGCGCATAACCTACCTCGTCAGCAAATTGTCTACTTCGCAAGCATGCATTTGCGGCTCGGTAATGTTTGAGCTTTCCAACCACTTTGTCCTCTTGCTCGCGATAATGTGAGTACAACACAAACAAATTGAAAGTTGGTGTGGGAAATTTGTACCTGAAAAATGTGCCTCGCGCACCAATGACGTTGCAGGAGTTCCGGACGGTCCGAAATGCTGTCCGGACGGTGTCAGCAGCGTAGAACGGACGATGAACTGACAGAAAAGTGTCAGACTTCGTACGGACGATCGCGACGTCGCGAGGGGTCTTGCGAACTTGTTGACGAGCTTTGACGAATTTTGTAACCCTACGAAAGTCCGGACGGGGCCTCCGTCCGGACGATGAAAAGTGAAGAAGTTACGCGCCCTTATTCACAATATGTGTTGCATGCCTAAATTTCTGAAGAGTAGCCGAGGTTTTGGAAGTAACGGATCAAATGATATATTTGTGAAATCAGTGTCCCCAAGATAGATCAAGTAAAACAGTTCTATACATTTAATCATTCCCTGGAATTGTGTGCTCATGCCGGAGTGGTTAACGGGACAGACTAGAAATCTGTTGGGCTTTGCCCGCGCAGGTTCGAGTCCTGCTGAGCACGGAACCCTTTATGTGTTTTAAGGTGTATAATTTTACTCTCATCTCAGCAATATCGTCCCCAGGATTGCCCCCCCCCCCGTAACAAGTACCACCGTCAAACCTACTCAAGACCAGCACTATGAACTTCTATGACTAGTTCACTTTTTAACTGTGAGACGCGAAGGGTACAGTACAATGATGCCCCCCTTTCAAGAATGTTTTTCAGAGTTTCGGGTCGGGATAGAAATTGCCTGATTTCCTGACTTCGTCCCATTCATAGCGGCTGCACTCACACCGAGAGTAGTTGTCCAAAACAACGATCCACCACTCCGTCAAGCTGTCAGGGTAGAGTGCGAACGTTTTGTTGCCCGAGCGAGCACAAGGCAATTGTGGGAAGCGCGCACGTTCCCACCTGTGTGGCATGGCACACTCACGGCATTTCCTGCCACCTGGCCGCACCGATTTTCAAGATTTACGAATGGGAAAAGATCATGCAGGGGCCGAACAGTGCCAGAGGGGTGATCAACCAAGGGCCGAGAGGCCCGAAAATTACCAAACCGCTGCACAAAAAGATATTAACAGAAAGGTCTCGTTTGTTGCACGTAATTCTGTTACTAGTTGCATGCACTGGCTAGCATTTTCGCTCGCGTGTCGTTTAGCGAGCCGACTCTGCTGGGAACTCTTAGGGCAGCAAAAAAACTAAAACCCATAGGGAATCTGGATGCAGTTTCGGGATGGATCAACCCTAAAAAGGGGGACCTTCCTGGTATTTAGGGTTGATGCCTCCCGAGGCGCATCCGTTTCCGAATGGGTAATATTTTTTTTACTGTGCGTTTTCGATCGCGTTGGTGATATGTATCACCCATAATAAAATATGTTGTTACGTACTCACGATTTGACACGCCGAATTTTAATCCCAGAACAAGGCGACGCGCGCGCTGTAGTTGACGGCGGTCAAAACCCTTATTGAAGAAGTTTTACACGCAATTCGGTTTCTTCAGCAATTCTCTTTAACTCACGGTTCGGCTTGTTCGCCCAGCCGTGCGGGCAGCTCCGGGTTGAAATCCTACGGTCGAGATTTTCCGGCCCTACTTTGATCACCCCTCTGGCACTGTTCGGCCCCAATATGATAATTTCCCTTTACGAATCGCGATTCGTGCGGCTCAACCCTCTAACAAAAACGCAACGCCACGGCACGGCACCACCTCGGGAAATGACAGACTTGCAGTATCTCACTACCATTGGGAACCAGACTGAACCCTACCAGATCTATTGTAAACGAACAGAGAATGACCGGCCGCAACTGCAACCTCCTCTCCCCTTCGCTGTCCTTCCACCTTTTGCCTGGCATGTCGTCGTCAGGTCACCCTGTTTCGTGCAATTTCTTGCCCTGCGTCCCCTCCCCTCGCTGTCTTCCATTTCGAAGTTGCGACGCACACTGTGCGTGGTTCTGTCCTGCTCTGCAAACCCTTATATCGCTCTACACGCGTTGAGACTCATAGCAAGCAAGTGACAGATCCTTAGTATTGAGGGCAAGATATAGTAGTAGTAGTTCCGACGCCTCGTGCCTATTTCCCTCATGGCGGTAGCCTCGCCGCGGCACTGCCAGTGGTCCTCGCACGCGTCGTGGCGCGCCGTGCCGCGCTGCATGCTGCTGCTCTCGTTGATCGCGACGGCGGCGGCGGCGGTGACTCCGCCGACGAAGGCGGAGTATCTAGCGGAGCTCAAAACCCTCATTGCAAGGCTCAATATGCAAGGCTGTAGCATCATAGCGCAATCCGTGTCGGGCTACATGGGTGAAGTTGGTATGTGTGTACTCACCTATTTCTATACTTGTGTTCAGGATGTTGGCACACTCACTTCGATGGCAAAAATTCGCGGTATTCAAAGAAAAGTGTGCTCATGCCGGAGTGTTTAGCGGGACAGACTAGAAATCTGTTGGGCTCTGCCCGCGCAGGTTCGAGTCCTGCTGAGCACGACTTTTTGTGCTTGTCTGAATCAGACCACTCCTGCATTTACTTGTTCCACGCACTCACTTCGTAACGACACAAAAGCTCACCATCCTGACATCCTTTCTCACTAACCCGCCTCCCTATCTGCTCCAGAGAAATTTCTTGACGCTGCCTTTCCAGCAGAATACCAGGAATAGTTGGTTATTCATTTTTTTTCGAGGAAAAAAAAATGACTTACTCCTCTTCCCTATGTCCCAACTCACTTCCCCCCCTCCCTGTCCCCTCCCTGTCTGCACCAGAGACTCCTCTACGCTGCCTTCTCTGCAGGTTACCAGGAGTAGTTGTTTATTCAGAATTTCCCCAAAAAAAAGGACTATTCCGCTTCCCTACGTCCCACCTCACTCTCCCCCCTCCCTGTCCCCTCCCGGTCCGCACCAGAGACTGTCCCCGACGCTGCCTTCACCTTCCTTTCTTCCCACCGCACTTCTCTCCTCTCAACCCCCTCCCCCCTTCCCTTTCTTCCCTACGACTTTCCCTCCCGGTCCGCACCAGAGCAAGTCCCCGACATTACCTTCTCCGCAGGCTACGAGGAGTTAACCTTCCTCGCACCCACCGACTTTGCTTTCGCAAAAGCAGCTTTCCGGCCGCGGGTCTCTGCTGCCGATCGCCAACAGCTTGTGGAATATCACATCTTAACAGGGCTCTACAGCTTTGCGCAGCTTAAAGCCCTGCCCAACCGCAGCCAGATACCCACTGCAGCGGGGAAGAGCATAATGAAGCACAGCGTGCGGGCTAGCTGGTATTGGAACCCGGGGACGAGCGTGGCTCTGAGCAGCCCGGGAGCGCAGCAGCTGTTTTGGGCGCAGATCGACACAAAGAAGCTGTTCAATGGCAAGTATGTGAAGGGACATGTGATCGACTGTGTTCTCGTGCCCAACTGACTGAGGGCATAGTGAAGCATAGTGTGCGGGCTAGCTGGTATTGGAACCCAGGGACGAGTGTGGCGGTGAGCAGTCCCGGAGCGCAGCAGCTGTATTGGGCGCAGGTGGACACGAGGAAGCTGTTCAATGGCAAGTATGTGAAGGGGCATGTCATTGACTGCGTTCTCGTGCCGCCCAGCTGATGCTTGTGAACTTCTGAAGGTTACACCCACCTTTTGCCACTGAACAGCCCGGGAGCGCAGCAGCTGTTTTGGGCGCAGGTAGCCACCAAGAAGCTGCTCAACGGGCAGTATGTGAAGGGGCATGTCATCGATTGCGTTCTCGTGCCCAACTGATAAGACACTGACGCTTGCGAAATGATCAAGTCTGGACCCAACTGTTGGGGTAATTTTTTAGTTTCGGCATACAGCACGCACTGGAGCTTGGTTTGGTACCTGAGTTGGAAGTTTCAGAGCGCTGCTGCAACTGCCATGGGTGAAGGCCTGGCATGTGGGTGTTATGTGGTTATAGGTCATCCCTGTTGCTTTTCTTTGATGTGGCACAGTTTAGACAAGCACTGCCCCTTGCATGTTCTGCTCTAGTTTAGTTGTTTTTAGTGCATACTGGATAGCGTAATGTACCGGTAGTTAGCCAGAATCCATCCTTTTCCAATGCGTTGTGAGCATGAGAGAGGCACCGAGACCCCGGGAGTGGACTAGCAAGCAACCAGAAACCGATCGGTAGCTGTTGACTAGTGACTAGTAGACCATGCATCATGCATGCATATCAGCCAGCAGTGGGTCTGCAGCTTTTGACAGTGCATACGGTATGTGCAGATGAGGCACACGTTTGATTGGACTACCCGACACACCATGGAGTGTCATACAGACACTAGACAATAGTGCCAGAGCAGCAGTGAAGGGCAGAGCAGCACCTAGGGGCAGAGGAGCAGGAACGGGCAGAGATGCAGGAACGGGCAGAACAGCACCCCCCATGGGCAGAGCAGCAGGAACGGGCAGAACAGCACCCCCCATGGGCAGAGCAGCAGGAACGGGCAGAAAAGCACCCCCACGGGCAGAGCAGCAGCGGCTAGGGGCAGAGCAGGGCGGACAAGAGAGTGTCGCGGATGACTGGGTCTTCAACCTGTGTGAAGACTCGCGCCTCTATGGCTGGCAGCATGCGCCACACCTGGTGGTGCAGTGCGGTGCAGGGTGGTGCAGACAGGTGCAGGGGGGTGGGGTGGGAAAAGCTTGAGGAGGACCAGCAGCGGCTAGGGGCAGAGCAAGGCGGACATGAAAGTGTGGCGGATGACTGGGTCGTTGACCCGTGTGAAGACCGCTGGCAGCATTCGCCACACCTGGTGGTGGAGGCAGGTGCAAAGCGGTGCAGGGAGGTAACTTTGAGCTGAAGGGAGGTGCAGTGAGGTGCAGTGAAGTGCAGGGAGCTGAGCTTGAGGTGAAGGGGGACGGAGAATAGGAATGAGAATCATGTAATGCATTGGATGGCAGGCCAGCATGTCACCTGCTGTGCCAGCCTAACACACTGGGTGACTGTGGTAGGGGCGACACAGTGACTGCATGTGCCCCAGCACACAGCATATCCAGCCTTCCGAGCTGACTTGTTAGATATTTCACCTGTTACACGCAACCTGGCTGTAGCATCTCACCTGCTACACCCAACTTAACATACCTGCGGGCTGTGGTAGCGGCACAGCGAGCGCATGTGGCCCAGCACACAGCGCATCCACTCCTTCTCCCCCGCTGCCTTGAGCCGCCTCTTGTGCCCCCGCTCCTCCTCCTCCTTCCTCCTCTCCTCCTCCCTCTTCCTCCGCCCTGCCAGCCTCCTGGACCCACCGCAGCAGACAGCACATGGAAGAGAGGGCAACGAAGGCAAATGAGGAAGGAAACTTCGTCGAACAGAAAAAAGGGAAAGGGAAAGGGATCTGTGTCGAAAGTAGTCTCTGTAGCCCAGAGTCGCCCCCTCTTATCTGCCCTCACCTGTCACTGCCCCCATCCGCGCCCTCCTCTCCATCCCTCCCTGCATCACCTCCCTCGTCCTCCTCCATCCTCTCCTCCGCACCAATCTGCCCTTACATGTGATCATCCCAATCCCATGTCTACGTATTCTCATCCCATTTTCCCAGCCCTCTTCTCTGCCCGGGCTCACCTGTCACTGCCCTCCTCTCCATCCATCCCCGCATCGTCCCCCTCCTCCTCCTCCTCCATAGGCTCCTCTTTCACCCGCCTCGCCTCCTCGTCCTCCTCCTGCGCTGCTGCATCGGCCACCGCAGCCCGCCGGTTGCTGACAGCCGTGGCAAAGTGAAGCAACAGAGCAATGAACAGGGCCTGAGGGGGGAGCGGGAGCGGGGATGGAAGGAAGGGAGGGGAGAAAGGATGCGGAGGAGGCATGAGAGAAGGTGTTGCTTCGGCCACAGCAGTCCGTCGATTGCTGGCAGCCGTGGCAAAGTGAAGCAACAGAGCAATGAACAGGGCCTGAGGGGGGAGGGGGAGCATCGATGGGAGCAATAAGCAATCGGGGGGAAGGGATGATGAGGAGGAATGACTCGAGCTGCTGCCTCTGCCCCCATCTCTTCTCTACCCCTGTTCATAAGTTTCCAAGTCACTTCTCTCAATCTCATGCATCTTCTCCCTATCAGCTCCTCTCCTCCTCCTTGTCCTGTCCACTGCTCAATCATCCAACCCACTCCTCCTCTCTTTCCTGTCTCCCGCTGCTGCTGCTGCTGCTGCTGCTGCGTTGCAATCCAACTCAACCACCACTACAGAACCCAACCCATCTCCACCGCTCTCCACTCGCCTGCTCTTCCTCCTCGGCCTCTCGCCTCATCCTCTCTTTGCCCTCCACCGCTGCTGCTGCCGCCTCTGCCTCCTCCTGTGTCTTGCTGCTCCGATGCTGAAAGAAACAAGAAACCAGGCAGAGAGGCAGCGTGGGAGAGGGAATGACAGTAGAGAGGGGAGGTGAGTGAGTGTGGCGACAGCAAGCAAAAAAGGAGGTGAAAAGAAAGCTAGAGCAAGTGGTGCTGCTGCCACCTCTGCCCGGTACTGTGCCTTGACCCAATCTTTCTCCTCAGTGCTGCCTTAGACCACATTTATTCCCACTCCCCACCAACACAACCCCGACCTTGGCCCATTCAACCTTTGCTAATCCTAGAGGCGTCTCACCCCCCCACACTCTACCGCACCTTTTCCCACCTATCCTTACCGCACCCCACACCCCCCCACCTTGGCCCATTCAGCTTTGCTTGCAGCCTGTGTTTTCGCCTCCTCTCCCTCCGCCTCCTCCACTGCCAACGTGGCAGCCTCCCATTCGCTGCGCGCCTTGCTGGCAGCCGCTGCTGCCACAGCCGACGCCCTCTCAAGCGCCGCCACCTCAGCGCTGACGTGGCGCAGGCGGTTGGCAGCCTTTGACACAGCGGTGCGGAGAATCTGATTTTGGGGAAAGAAGAGTTGAAGGAATGGGAAGAAGAAGTGGAAAGGGGAAGGTTGAAAGGGAAAATAATAGAGGGGGGTTGAAAACGGAATGAGGGGGAAGGGAGAAGGGTCAGCTCGTGTGTGCGTCCGGGGTCGCGAGTGGAAGTGAGAATGCAGCAGTGCAGCTGCAGCAGCACAAGCACTCCACTCCACTCCACCCCACCCCACCCCATCCCACCCCACCCCACCCCCCCCACCCCACCCCACCCCACCCCACCCCACCCCACGCCACTCCACTCCACTCCACTGCTGCTCGAATCACTCACTTCTCAAACGCCCGCTCACCTCCCAGATGCGTTCGGACGTGTGGTAGAGGTCGTAATGGGAAGGCAGGAAGCACCAGTCGAGCAGGGCAAGAGGTGAGACGAGACGGAAGCCGAGGCAGCGATCCACCACCACTGCCGCCATCTGAGGCGCGTTGGCCCACACCGTCCATATGCTGTGCAGCAGCTGCACCTGGGAGGACTGTTGGGGGGGCCGAGAAGAAGCGGGGAATAGTGGGTAAGGTTGGGGTTTTGAGACGCCATGCCATCTGCGGAACAGAAGGGGAGAAGGGTATAGAGGGAGAGGAGAGAGAAGGGTGGTTGGTAATGACTTGCTTGCGGCCATGTTAGGACCATCTGTCACGTGCCGTTGCAGAAACCTTGAATGCATGCACCTGATCAAGTGCTGGCGACAGCAGGCAGGGTCCCAAATCCCACGTGGTCCCAAATCCCACCAGCAGAAAAAGGGAACCCCTACATGAGCGTACAGAACAGCACCCCAATCCCACCTGGTCGAAGCACCGAGTCCTTCTCTTTTTCCAGCACAGTCACCGCATGAGTGAGTGATGCTCTTAGACACCAACCAGCACAGCACAGCACAGCACATCACAGCGCTCCTTGCCAGCTCGGCTGGCTCACCTGATCAGGCGCCAGCAGCTGCAATGCCAGCCCGTATCTCTCAAGAACGGTAACCGCATGGGTGATGCTCTTCCACCCCAGCTGCCAGCAGAAGGACCCCTAAATCAGCGCACACAGCCCCACCCCATCCCACCCCAAACCAAACCCACCTGATCAGGTGCGAGCAGCTGCAATGCCAGCCCGTATCTCTCCAGCACAGTCACCGCGTGCGTGATGCTCTTAGAACCCAGCACCAGCAGCGTCTGGGCCACCACATCCAGCGCGCGGCCCTTGTCCCCGCCCACCTTGCCCACCTTGCCCACCGCCTGCTCCTCCACCCACGCCGCCACCTCCTTGCCCGCCCGCTTCGTCCTCACCATCACTATCACCTCCTCTGCTACCTCCACCGCTGCTGCATCCACCCCCTCCCCATACTGCTGCACTGCGCCTTTTCCGACGTCCTTCTCCCCGTCCTTCCCCCCTTCCCCGCCCTCCCCCTCGGCCCCATCCTTCATGTCGCGGTCCCCCTCTCCCTCCCCCGCCTTCTCCCCCTCTTTCTTCTCCCCTTCCCCCGCGCCTTCCTTCCCCCCGCGCCCCTCCCCCTCCCCCTCGCCCTCTGCAGGAGCCAGCAGTCTCCCCGGCCCCGCGGCTCGATTGCGCTTGAACTTGAAGACAGGCTCGGGCTTGGGGGGGAGAAGCTGCTCCATCTCTGCGCTGCCCAGGGACTGTCACACGGGGAACAGGGGAGAGAAGAAGGGCAGAGAGCAGAGGGGCGGACAGCACACAGAAGGATGAAGAGCAGCCCTTGCTCTGCAGGCGCCAGCAGCTATGCTGCAGAAGACGCGTCCTGCGTCCTGGGTCCTGCATCCTGCGTCTTCGCGGGCGTCCTGCGTCCTGCGTCTGGACGCAAGACGCCCTGAGCGTCTTGTGCTGCTGGCCAGCAGTCTCCCCGGCCCCACAGCTCGGTTGCGCTTGAACTTGAACACGGGCTCGGGGTGGGGGGGAGAAGCTGCTCCATCTCTGCTGAGCCGAGGGACTGGGATGAGAGGACAGGAGGGGCAGAGAGCAGAGGCACGAGAGGGGAAGGAGAGCAGAGGGGCAGACAGCAGGGAGAAGGATGAAGAGCAGCCCTTGCTCGGTTGCGCCAGCAGCCTCCCCGGCCCCGCAGCTAGATTGCGCTTGAACTTGAAGACTGGCCCGGGCTTGGGGGGGAGCAGAGCAGCTGCTCCATCTCTGTGCTCCTGAGGGACTGGGATGAGGGGCATGGGATGGGAGGATGGGGGAAAGGGGGGTTGGGAAAGAACGGAGGAAGAGGCCAGGCCCGTTGCGGAAGCTGGAGCTGAATTTGAACGCAGAAGCTGGAAGATCCTCTCTGATCGTGTCGTAGTAGGAGAGGCGGATCTCACTCTTGAACACCTCACACACAAACACTCAACACTCTCTGTCTGTGGGGCTTTCATTCATGTGAGGGATGGTGCACAGCACAGGCGACGCACGTTCAACACACAGTGACACAGTCTATACTGCGTTGCGTACGCACCCCTCTGATCATGTCGTAGTAGGAGAGGCGGATGGTGTTAGTACGCACCTCTCCAGCACCTCCGACACAACACACCCTCTGCGTGGGGTGGGGCCCATGCGAGACAGAGAGTGCTCAGCCGACTCACTGCGTTCAACACACAGTCCATACCATGCACGCACCTCTCTAATCTTGTCATAGTAGGAGAGGCGAATCTCCCTCTCCAGCACCTCAGACACGAACACTCTCTGCGGGGCCCACTCCGGCTGCCGTGCGACTGCCGCCCACGCCGCCCACGGCCACACAAACGCAAAGTTGGACCTGAGGGGCGTGCAGATAGGACAAGAGACAACAATTGTGAGGCGCCTTCCCCAAAAGAAGTTGGACCTGCGCGGGCAGCTTTCTTTTCGACATACAGGACAAGGAAAGCAGAGAGCGTCGACAGAAGTGTGCAGTGCAGAGGTGGGTGGTTCAGTTAGGTTGAATTGGAATTGATTTGGAGTTGACGTGACTTTCAAAGTCGCGTCAACTCAGAATGATAAATCCGTACCGTAACAACATGATAGGCAGACACTTGGGGTCGCCTTGGGACGCCAGTGGGAGACGGACATGCAGAAAAGGACTCACAGATGGTGGGCCAACCACTGGATGACACGTGTCCTGCACTCCACATCCATGATCGCCGCCCGGGAGAAGAGAGCTCTCACCGCCCCCGCTAGCACTGCTGGGAAGGCGCCGGGAAGGGCCTGAGAGAGGGTTGGGGAGTGGGAGACGAATGGGGGACGGATGAAGGACGGATGGGCGATATGGGTTGCGGTGGAACGTGGAGGGGAAAGGTCAGCTGCGTGGAGGAGAGCCCTCACCTCACCGCCCCTGCCAGCACTGCTGGGAAGGCGCCGGGGAGAGCCTGAGAGGGGGAACGGGGATGGGGGTATGGGAGGAATGTGTTGGGGAGTGGGGGAGTGGGGGAGTGGGGAATGGAGGGAGGACAGCCTTGCAACCCGTGCAGTTGAGGGGTTGCAATGGGGAACAGACTCCTCCGCGCCTCCGCCAGCACCGCAGGGAAGGCGCCGGGGAGAGCCTGAGAAGGTTGACTGAGGCCTTCACGACACACAGCAGGATCAGCACGCCAGTCATCTTGCAGTGGTCAACCGAGTCAACGCACCTTGCAGAGGTCAACCGAGTCAACGCACCTTGCAGAGGTCAACCGAGTCAACGCACCTTGCAGAGGTCAACCGAGTCAACGCACCTTGCAGAGGTCAACGAGGACGATTGTATAGTAGATGGGGCGGAAAGGCGACCGGGGAAGCAGCAGCAACTGGACGGACAGGGCAAGAGGGAAAGCGGGGAGCACGGGGAAGAGAGAGGAATGAAGTGGGGGACAGAGGCAGAGAGGCAGATGGAAATTTAGAACGTGGAACTTGGAACTTGGACTGTATGCCTAGAACTTGGATGGAAATATGCCCCTGTTTTACAGGGAGATGCCTCAGTGGATTGCACCTGGACGGCGCCATTTCTCTGCGATTTTCACCTGACAGAAGGCATGTCTCTGTGGTTTTCACCTGGGAGAAGACAGTTTCCGCCATGACGTATTCGTAGCGGAA